CAAGCTACTATGTTTTAATACTCCTGCAGTTGAGATCCATACCAGGTAAATGTAATAATTGCTAATAGTGTTACACATACATGAAGCTGTGTAAGGGGCCCCAAAATTTCTGATGGCTGCCCTGGTCACCAATATGTGCCCATGCAGACTTACATTTACATTATGTATGTTTACAGTATGTGATAGTTGTGGCTTGCTTGTTTACATCCTTTGCTGGCTTCTCTTCCCACAGGGAACAACAGGCAAGCTTCAGAGTCTTTGTAGATGGCCTTTTCTTCTTTATGGGAGATGCACGCAAATCAACAGAAATTCAAGTAAGAAAAAGATGTGGTACTGGGCAGACCACCGCTATCAGATAAATGTAAGTCCATCTAAGGCCTGTCAGATTTGGCATATTTGTTATAATGGCAAGAGTGTTGGGCTATAGAGAATTTTGTAAAAGTACAAAAAAAGTAAAAAGTATTCCATGATACTCAATTATTGCTGCCTTTGTATGGGTGGTTTGTTCCTCCCATCTTTTTTTGTATGTTTCTACAATCTCTTCTTTGTGAAAAACTTTAATAAAAAGATATTTCTGTAAAAAAAAGTAAAAAGTATATCCATAAAAAGTATTTGTAGTTACTTGGAACTGAACACCAACCTTACCATCAGTCTTGCACAGTTGTACAGGCTCCTCTCCTGTACTGAAAGTGCTTACTCTAATTTCATTGCACACTCTGAGCTTCTGTGAGTTGCAGCAAGTCAGATAGAGCTTACCACATTAGCTGGCCACTTCCACGTGGTACCATTTTCATTGTTTTCTGTACTTTGTAGAATAGTTAGGAGGCATCATGATCATTAGACACCTCCCTCGCTTGTAGGCAAATATACTCACCTGTGTATAAATCTTTATTGTGAAATATCCTAAACTTTAGCCAACCAGCACCTTTATCACTTGTTTCCTAATTCATCTAATCAAAATATGTAAGAATTAACACATCTCGGAGGGCGATAATTTCCCAAAATTTGTAGACCAATGTAACAGGCAAGAGAGAAGAACATTTAACATCATCAAATAAAGAGTCTGGCAAAATTGCCACTAGAGACTGATAATTATAAGGCTAAAACTAATAGTGATATAACCCAGAAGACAAGCAAAAAACTAAAAGGCATGTTTACAAATGCTAGAAGTCTGGTAAACAAAATAGATGATCTAGAGCTTTTACTAATTGAGGAGTATGACCTCGTGGGAATAACAGAAACCTGGTTTGTCAGCACCCATGACTGGACTGCAAATATTGAAAGGTACGATTTACTTAGTCGGGACCGCAAGGATAGAAGAGGGGGAGGGGTATGCATCTACATCAGGAATAATCTGATAGTAAATGTGTGCAACAACATCAACAACAAATCGGGGGGGAGGGGGGTTGCTTGTGTTGCAGAGTCCTTGTTCTTATCTCTAACCATAAGTGATAAAAATGGTGCATTATTGATGGGTATATGCTATAAACCCCTAACCATAAGCGAAGAGGAGGAGCTTCAACTAATCTTACAGATCAAGATGGCGGGGAGGCATGCCAATGTCTTTGTAATTACATTGGCATGTAGGCATGCCAATGTAATTATTGGGGACTCCAATTATCCAGATAGCTAATATTCAAGAAGGGTTCAAGATCTGTACCAGATAACTACAGGCCATTGAGTCTTACAACAGTAATATGCAAGGTTTTTAAGGGAATGGTCAGGGATTATATTGAAAAGTTTGCATGAATAGAATCACAAGCATGAACTAACACGGATTTATGAAAGGCCGTTCTTGCCAGACAAATCTGTTAACATTCTATGTGGACAGGGGAATCCCAGTTGATTTAGTCTTTCTACACTTTGCAAAGGCGTTTGACACAGTACCCCACAAACCATTAGTATACAAACTAAGGTCGATGGGCATTAAAAACCAATATGTACATGGGTAGAAAACTGGTTGCAGGACCGCATCCAGAGGGTAGGAATAAATGGTACATTCTCTAAATGGTACAAAGTGGTGAGTGGAGTGACCCAGGGTTCAGTCTTGACCTGTCCCTTTAAGAAAAAGTATCGGTAATTGGTATCGGTACTCGTACTCAGCCTTAAAAAAGTGGTATCGGAGCATCCCTAATTTATTACCTTACTTTCTGTTGTAAAACATAGCAAATTAAAATGGCAGCACAGTAAGGACACCCCGAAAGTGACCTTTTTGGAAAGTAGACACCCCAATGTAATCTCATTGTAAAATAAAGAATGTTTTTGAGGAAATTAAAACAATAAGCTTGGTATTGGTGCACCTAATACTTAGCATAATTAATGTACAAGTCATACAAAGAAGGAGGATGAGGTGAAGGGGTTAGTGTACAGGTCATATACAGTGGGAGGATGGAGATAATGGACAAGGGGCCGACAATTTATGTGTGGCCACTAACATCGGTTTGCAGCGGTCCCCCTCCCTTTCTTTCATTTTAATCTATTTCTCCTCAGGGCAGTTTTAATTACATTGCCCCTTTAAAAGCATTGCCCCTTTAAGAAACCCCTTACCTGTTTAGTGGGAAAATTGTCCAGCTTTCTAGAAGGTTCTGTGGGCTCACCTCTCCCTATAAAAGGTCAGCACCATAGGAGCAGAGGTCACTCGGCTGGGCTCACAGCGCAGCGACCTCCCACCCTCCCCCCCCCTTTTTTCCGTAAAAAAAAGAAACATATATGTCGCAAGCTTTTTATGTGGTTTGTCACCCTCAACGTGAGGGAGGACTTAATTTATGTACAGTCCTTCATGATGGTATTGCTTGAGTCGTAGTGGCTAGGCAATTATTGGTTGATTAATAGTTTGAGATTGATGGTTTGATATTTTAAGTAAAGTTGATTTATTTTAAACCAATAAAAAGTGCCGCGGCCAATTTCAATCCAGATGTTGTCTCTTGTGTATTTATTAATTTATGTATTCATTAACTTATGTATTTCATTAACTTATGTATTTATTAAGGTATGTTAATTTATTATATTTTGTACCGCCTGCAATCCCATGGAGTTAATGTACAATATAACAGAGGTTAAAGTGCTAATATACAGGTTAGAGACAGGATGGAGATGACACACACACACACACAGAGAGGAGGGGGATGAAAGGGTTAATAAATGACCCCACAATCACATTAAATAAAACCCCTCACCTTGAATCTGCCAATCTGCTACTGCCTAGGATCCCTTTCTTCATTCATTTTCCAATTGCTCACTCCCTCCCCTTCCTCCATTGTGAGAGGAAGGGGAGAGCACAAACATGTAAACAGATCGCAGTGTTTACAGTACATTTGTGATTGCTGTAATTGGCTATCGCAGTGATCTCAAGGTACAAAGCCACACTGTTTGGCCGTGTGTGTTTTGTGCAATACCATTTAAAAACGGCACTCCAGGAATACACATCCACTCCCTGCAGTTTTTTTTCTTTCAATAAATTGCAATGCATTTTTAAACCTAAGTCTCCATTCACACCTGAGTGTTTCATGAACGTGTGCTAAAAACTCACAAAAATGCAAGCTTTTATGAGCCTTTGCTAAATCCACCAAAAACGCAAAACACTTGCGCATTTGTCGCGCATGCAGAAACCTGTTGAAATTATTCGTCCTCATTCTTATCGAGGCATTCACTGATATTCGGTGGGCTGAACATACACTGCCTGCCAGAGGCTGCTGTGCCAGCCAGGCAATGTTGGCACGCAGCTCAGCTGGATTTTAGTACAAAGGTTTTGGGTATGTGGCACTCATCTGTTTTAATAAAGGTATACGGCACTGCCAACATGCTGCCCTCAAAACCTCCCCCATTTGACTAAACAAGGCAAAAATGGCAACCACACCAATCAATGTCTTAGTAGTTTTTTAAGGTAAGGATCACATGGAAGGGCTTTGCACAGAACAAACATTTTTCAGCACACTTGATAGCCTGCACAAAAAACAGGTCACACTGTCTTAACAATTTGCGTTAAAAACAGAGTTGCACAACTTTTATGGAGGAATGGGCTACCTCCAGGAATACCTGCACACAATTTGTCCATTGCTATATATGTTCCAGGATGGGGGCTCCCATAGATCAGAGTTAGGACCACACTACACAGAGGGGACTTCACAGGCCACATATTTTGCAAAAGTTGTACAACTAAAATGCAAATTGTTAAAGGAAAACTATGAGGTGAGTGCTTTTCACTCACCTCATAGGTCTAGCCGACCTGTGACAATGAGACTGTCACAGGTCGGCTCAGTAGATCGGGAGGTGAGCGAACACATACCGGCGTTCGCTCACCTCTCGATCCTGTTACAGCTCTCTGCCGTGACAGGGGAGGGGCAGGATTCCCCGCTCCCCACTCCCATTCGCCAGCGATGACTGGCGGATCGGACGGGGGAGGGGGAGGGGGCGGGTACAGCTGGCTCTGCCTCTAGATAGGCAGAGCCAGATGTCACTCACGTAAGCTGGGCGGATCCAGACATAATTGTCGGGATCCGCTTCAGCTGCTGCATCTCAGTATACTACAAGCAGTAGCTGGTGGTGTACTGTGGCGTCTCAGTATACCGCAAGCTGTAGCTCGCGGTATACTGTGCTTAGGGTGATGGGAGGACGCTAGTTTGTGTCCTCCCGTTACCCTAAGGAGAACTATGGGGAAAAGCCTTAACCCCATAGTTCTACTTTAAACAATGTGACTTGTCTTTTTGCAGGCTAGCTGGTAAGTGTACTGGAAATTGTTATTCTCTGTTTGCTCTACACAAGGGAAAAGTCTCAGGCTGCCTAATTAAGAGCATGGCCCTACCACCAGCAGAACCACTGACTCCATGTAGTAAATAATTGTGATGCAAGCTTGCATTGTTGGAAAGAGAACATTTTAACATATGCATCTTCTGTATATGGTTTAACTTGGATTTGCACCAGTAATGACATTTGACAAAGGGTTTGGTGTTCTGTACAATATATG